TGGAAGGCGCGCTTTTTCGCATTTCTTTTGCCTTTCTCCGGCTGGGCCTTTTCGCACAAACTGGTCGCGTTCGTGTCAGGTCACCACTTTTGCCGAGCTGCGAGACGCCCTCCGAAGCACGGCCGGAAGCTTGAAGCACAGCCTCCACCCTAGTAGCAATGGCCTCGAACCCGCTCGCAAAGGCCTCCAACCTAAGAGCGTCCTTGCTCCTAGTAGCGATGCCAGGAGTCCCTAGTAGCTTCTTGTTCCTAGTAGTAAGGCCAGGAGCCCCTAGTAGCGTCCTTGCTACTACTAGCAATGGCCTCCAACCTAATGGCTTTGCAAGAGATTCATGTTTGGTGATGCCTTTGTGTGACTCTGAAGATTGTCGCATGTCTTTGAGCATGTTTTGGGACCTTGCTTTATCGATAAGTAGCACAGTGCCACGACTTGCTGAACTGTTCCGAGGGAACTGCAGCTCTCAACGAGAGGCGCCGGGTTTTGGCCACAGATATGTTGGAGGCCATTGCTTCTAGGAGGCCATCACAGGAAGCAGTCAAAAGCTGCTTGGGGACGTATTGTGGGAGGCTCCGTGCTGCTGGGCAGAAGGTCTTCGCAGCAGAGACCATTGCCGCCTTAAAAGCACGGGTGGATTTGGAGGAGATGTGTTTAATTGTGTCCTTTTGTTGCTACTACTAGCGTGGCACTTGTTTCTAATAGCTTCTTGTTACTAGTAGTAAGGCACCTGTTACTACTAGCTGCTTTTTGTTTTACACTGCTTTCCTCTTTTCTTCATCACTTTCACATCCCAGTCTATGGTGCAAAGATAGTCCAAAGTGTGCAACCTTGAATCACGAAGCAGGAGCCTCCAAAACCCTTTGTGGAGATCAATCCCCGACTGCCACGACAGCGCTGGGAGGCTCCCTCCTGTGGCTTGGGCCATCGGGCTTTGTTTCTGCTAGTCAGCTCGACGTAGAAGCAATGGCCTCCAACCCTTTTAGCGATGGCCTCCAACTTACTAGCAATGACCTCCAACCTGCTGCTTGAAGAATCTGCAGATGACAGATGTCTATAGTGTCGACATGCTGGGCAATACCGATGTTTCCTGCTCACGTACTCAACACCGGCTTTCCCTCGACCCGCTTGAATTTGCAGGTCACCCATGATTTGGCCATGGTCAGAGATGCACCTTCACTCGGTGCTCGTGCAGTAGCACGCAAGGTGCAATTGTTTTTCCTAGTAGCTTCTTGTTCCTAGTAGTAAGGCCAGAAGCCCTAGTAGCGTCCTTGCTCCTAAGTAGCAATGCCAGGAGGCCCTAGTAGCTTCTTGGGTGCCACCTTGATTCAGAGCCTTTGGATACACCAGTGCCCTGTCAGTGCTTTCTGTCAGCCAGGACAAAGGGCAGATAGTCGAAAGCGTGGAAGAGACCTTTGACGGCTTTCTGAAGCTTCCAGATCAGGCACTGATTGTTCCGGCTGCAACGTGGTGAGTCATTGTATAAACTTTGGTTTTATGGGCTTTGATCCACACCCTTTTATGTTCAAAGCAGAAATACGATCTTCCACTTCACTGCCCTTGCGACTACCGGAAAAAAGCCTACTAAAGGCTTAGACCGTGTTGGCCTTGCTTCACACATGTCGTTTCTTTTTCTTATCACTGTTCTTTTATTCTTTTTTGTGTGTCTTTTGGACTTTTAGACCTTTTCTTCCAAACAAATGCATTCAGACGGGGAGCGAAAGACACGTGCTGCTCTTCAGGCTGGTTGGTGCGCCAAGGACAGTTGTGCGGCACAGCCAAATACTTCCCAGTAACATTCGCGCTCTTAGGGAGGCCATCGCTACTAGGGTGGAGGCCATTCCATTCCTATGATGTTATCCATACCTTTCCGATTGAGACCAAGACCCAAATGAGTGCCCAGGGGCCTTTTTGGCCGAAAAGCCATGTTGTTCCTGTTCGATCTGTCCAGTGTCCACTTTGACCAAAGCATGGAGAGGATTGTCAAGGAAAGCTGGGTATTGGGCAGCATTGTGCTCAGCGCATTGCATGTCAAGATGTTTGAGAGCTTAGAGCTCAAGTTGATTCTAAAGGTACTCAACAAAATACCGTAACTTAAAACCGAAACCTGAGGTATTGTAGGTTAAGCTTAAATAAGAAAGTTGTTCAAACCGACCAAAAGACTTCTATTGTTTTTTGTTGTTTATGTTTTCCTGTTTGCCCTGTGATGGCGTTCTTTGTTTTCATGTCCTCCTTCGTTTCTTGTTTGTTTGTTTTTTGGTTTTGTTTCTTTCGCTGTTGCTCTGCTGTCTATCAGATAATATTACGTAATATTAAGTAGCATTCTGTCACGTCCTGTGACTCAGTTGTCAATAGTAGTCACCATGTGGTGCCGTCGATCTCAGGTTGTTGAAGCCTTTGGGCTCCTCACGTCCCGTCATGGCATCAGAGACATTGGCCACCTCAGCAGGACCACAACCTTTCGAGGCAGCTTTGAAAGAACTCAATCAGACGAAGCAATGGCCTCCAACCTTTACTAGCGATCGTGGAATCGATGGCCTCCAACACAATGTGTATGTGTTTGTTCTAGTAACAAGCGCATAACACAAAACGATTCCTCTTTGAAGTAGTTACCAAGCAGCTTCTCCATGCTCGAATATTTTTTGATAGCTTGGGGTTTAGATCAGCGATTGGCTGGAAGCACTTGTCAGAAACATTCCTTTCAATGTTTTGAGAGCGACTTTGGTGCCAGGTTGTGTTTCAACCTTCAGTTGCAGTACGCTCTGCCCCCTCCACGTCAGCAAATATCATTAGCGCACGGCGATGTGGAGAGGCACGGTGCAACCGTTTTCCGCGCGATGGCCTCCAACCTAATGGCCTCCACGGGAGCCTTCCAAGCTCTTCTATAAAGATATAGTCGATCATGTTTGGAACTTTAGATCAAGTAATGCTTTGTGCGGTGACATGATTTAAGCATCTTGAAGTGCATCGTAGGTTGTACTGGCTGAGCTGCTTGCTCAGTCTTGATTGTCGAAGTGTGCTGATTTGGTGAGGGTGGAGGCTTTGGCTTTGCATCAAAGTGAGGACTCAGACCTATGATGGCTGGGTGCGTTTACACGAAGATGCCGGATGGATGTTGAGTGTGCCTGACATGTTGTCACTTCAAAAGATATCCGAACGGTCGACCACCGCCCAGCCAGGTCGGCATCCTCAGCACGGTGTTCTTTTGCAGCCAGCCTTTGAAAAGACTGCGCAGTCCGCAAGTCAGGCGCAGTCCGCAGTCTTCATCATTCATTGGGCTTTGCTTTGAGATGAGTGCTGTTTACTGTTGGCTTGATGAAGCATCGAACGGCTTCGGCCCTTGGATGGCACGACTTCGGACCATTTTTCCATGCCACTAAATAGCCCTTGAAGGTAAACCGGAAGGTGAAACGCCCATTGGCACATTGGCACGCCGTGGCACGCCAGGCTCCTTTCGAAAGCGAGGCCAACATCAGGCTGTAACCTTGTGAGACGTGCTAATGCGAACATGCCAGGGAGTTACGACTCCTTTGATGTGTTGAATTGTCTTGCTTTCGAAACTATGACATGTCTACTTGCATGTCTCCAGTTTGAGCGCATTTGTGCAGGCCTGTCAGTGCAGTCCTCGGAGTCTGGGAATTTCTCTGGGATTTTCACATGCGTGCCATACGTGTGGTGGCACGCGTAGTGGCTGGACCAAGCAACTTCCTATATCTCATGAGCCGCCAACAACCAAATTCTTCTCTCTAGAATGGTGTGGACGAAACAACAGTTTTCGCAACAAGGTGAGGGTCCCGACTTGGAAGAACAGAGGACTGCTTTGGATGGCCTGTTGCATTGTTAATGAACTTCAAGGGGTGCAGATTTGGATGTCGCGAGCTTGATTGCAGGAGGCGAGAAGAGGCTGAAAGACAAGAGCAACGGAAGATTGAAGAGCGAAGAAAAGAGGAGGAACGGACTAGAAAGATGCGTCAACAGCCTGAGCCTGAGCGAAACAAGAAAATTACAAATAACAAATGCCAGATGTTTGACTTTCCAACGCATAGACTCAGGCTGTACTAGTTCACTTACAGGTTGCAGGTCGGGAATTTGGCAAAGTCGTGGAGCCGCATCGCCTATGTTTATCCATTGCCGAGGGAAGCTGAAAGAAGAGCTGAGAAGGCCCCGAGTAGCATTTGAGCTGTAGTGATTCCAAAGACAGCAGATCTGAAAGAAGAGCCTTCTTGATAAAACTATCGGGATTTATTGGTTGATGTTCTGGATGTTTATCCTTTTGCCCTTGTGATATATCGCAGTAAGTCTTAAATGTGAAGGTTCGATGAGTACCTGCGGACTGTTTCGAAACGCAAATGCTTGTGAAACCCTTTGAACTTTGGCTGCTCGCTAAAGGCACTGTTCCGTGAATTAACAAGTTAATGACATGTCAATGTCAAAAGACATGGTGAATTCGAGGCAACTTCCCAACTTGAAAGATCAGAGTCAGAAATCCCCCCTGGTTTGCACCAAGTTTCACGAGAAGGGTGAACATAACCCTGTCCCGAAAAATAGGTCGAGCTTTTGTTTCCAATACTTCCACTTCACACGTTGATCCTTTCATGAAACTTAGTCTGGGCAGAAGTGACCATTCTGAGTCGAATCGTCAGTTGCGACTGGAGGAACAGGAGAGGAAGAGGGAGGAAGCAAAACAGAGAGCTGAAGAAGAGAAGGCTCGTGAAGTCCGGCTTCAACCTGATTGTCCTCATGAGCCAACAGATCACAAAAGCAAATCTGTTTTGGTTGCTCGGGCATGGCCCTTTCATTTCTGATCTCGTTGTTTTGACTTGTTTGGTCTCATGGAAGACTTTCTCAAATTCTGCCAGAGAGCTGCTTTTTTTGTTCGTCTTTGTGGCTCGAAAGCGCACACCGGCTGTACCAATTTGCTTGGTTGCAGAGCTTTTGACACTGTGTTGCCAAGTCTTGCAAGCTGTAGCTTCTGAACTGAAACCCCACATTTTAGCTCTCATACTTGCAACCATAGAACTCGAAGACACATTTAAGATATATTTGTTAGCCAGGTTGGCATGGACCTCAAGTGGCATGTCAGAGTAAAACGGCATGACCGAGCAGGCTAGCCTTGAGGTCAAAGCTCCGGGAGTGGAAACTGAGCCAGAACGAACACCTGAGAGTCAGCGACAAAACTTGGATTTGTGGCAGAAGGCGGAATTAGCTTTGCAAGAAGAGAGAGCCAAAAAGGCCCAGAACTGCTGGCAAAATTATAGAGGTGTTCTTCGTTCCAACCGGGATCATGGGCCCCAGAACGGTCCCCATCTCGGAGCTGGAGGCTTACCGAACCGGCAGGGCGGCTCGAGCCGCCCTGCAGTGCCCACGCGCGCGGTGCCCGCAGTGCCCACCGCTGATGCAGCTTCATCACGCGCCGATGATCTTTGGCACAAGGAAGACTTGGAGGTGCAGCGACGGCGCGCGGCGGCTCATCGGAAAGGTGCTGGACTTCGCATCTATGATATTTCGGATGGCAGGCACAAAGGGGGATTGGTCAAAGGGAAGGGGCGCTCAGATGCCGATTCTGATCGCCGGGTGTACCCCAGTAAGTCTGCTGACAGTTCGTGGAAAGGCACCTTGCAGAAAGATGGCCGATTCTGGAAAGTCTTGTTGAGCAGGCGACAAATGGATGACCATCTTTTGATGCATTGGTGCCGATGGGCGCAGCCTCACTTGGATCGTTTGCCCTCCAAGGCTGTGGTAGTGATAGTCGATCTCTCCTTCAACCAAATTTCACTTTGCGGCTTAAAAGCATTGTTGCAAACACTCAAGGATGCAGACGTTCCTGTAGAAGGCTTTAGCTTGCACCACAACTGCTTGAATGATGCTGCCGCAAGTGAACTGGCACAATACATTCAGCACTCTTCATACACTCTGTACGAACTACATCTCTCGCACAACCAAATTTCTGAACTTGGGGCAAGGAGCTTATTAGAATCTGCAGTGAAAGCATTGCAGAGCCCGGTTGAACTGGTCTCTGGTCGGCCAAACATACGGTATCCTTGCGAGCGCAATGGTCAGCAGGTACCTCTTTGGCTACGATTGGGCCAGAATCGTATTGGTGATGGTTGTGGTTCAGCTTGGGTGCGTAGCTTTTTGCAAAGTATGGAGCATGAGTTGCTCGCGGCCCGCCGCAGCGTTTGCCAGAGCATCTCTGAAGATCCATGGGGTCAATATGATCATCACAATGATGCGCATCTCTTTTGTGAAGCTTTGCTTGCTTATGGGTGTGACCATGCATCTTGTACTCAGACCTATCCGGAGATGCCTGGACTTCCTCCTGGTCCCGTAGTGCATTTACCCATGCTCGATCAGCAGCTTTCCAGGGAGGCTCTGCGACAAGGGACCCAACAGACCCAAGGCGCCCAAGGGGCCAAAGGGGCGCAAGCTCGGGTCAAGGGCGGCCTGAAGGGCAAGGGCAAAGGTAGCTTCTCCAAGGGCAAGGGCCGGGAGACGAGGGAACGACACGAAGCAAGTGCTCCGCGGCCATCCGTCCGACTGGAGACGGTGGATCTATTGGACTTGGAATCGGAGACATCTCAACCTGTGAAGAAAGACGGCCTGGATGGAGGTGCCATCCTACTTTTGCTGTCTTGCTCTTTGTGTGTTCTGTTAAGAACAGTTTTGGCTGTTCATGGCAGCACGTCTTTGCTGCATTTGTATGGGATCGCATTTTGGATGCGCTTCAACATGCTTTGTAGGGCAATGCACACGCTCCCTGGAAGGTGAGCAGAAGTCCATGCCAGCAACAAAGCGCCCCAGCTAGCACTTTTATTGACTTTTCAGTTGGTGGAGAAAAGAAACACACATTTTGACGGCCTCAACATGCTGTGGTCAGAGGAGTCAAATGGGGGCAGAACCCTTGAATCTTTAAGACTATTCTGGCTTCTTAGTCAACCTGATGCAATATTTGCGATACCGATACCATGCAGCACCTCAGCACTGCCTGTTGTTGGCATGAATTCAGATGATAACCAAAAAAGAAGGAAGACAGGTGAGAAAATGAGGCAAGCAATGTTGCTGCAAGCAAGCACTCGTAACGGTTCATCCATCCTGCGTCTAAGGGGTATTCCAGCCACTATAAGACAGCAGACCATCCTGCCGGAAGGTCTTGGCCCAGAGGCCATTTCCGCGCAAGTCATGTGACAGTCATGTGAAGGCATTAGATGCCATGACTGTTCTGTTGTTGTGGAAGCAGAATGGGCAATAAGTTTTTTGCTTTTACAGGGGCTAGGCTAAGCCATAGTAGGCTTAAGTAAGCTAATAAGCTTACGTAGCTACTACCCTACTACCGAGGACGCAGGAAAGCCCTCGCACTATTCATTTGGTTCCTAGGTTTTCAGGGAAACTAGTTCTTTTCTTTTTCTCATTAGGGTGAAGGACATCGCTATTAGGTTGGAGGCCATCGCTACTGTACTAGGGTGGAGGC